TATAATCTGTCTTTAAACTTTAAAGCAATATACAAGGCATTGTTAGAAATGAGTACCTAGGTGGTCGAGCATTTCACCTTGGCCTTCACTGCGCATGGAGAGAGCTGTACAACACAGTTTTTTTTTTTTTCAATGTGACGCCATATGATGTCACAATGCAAAATCACACACTGGATGATTATATCTTATCGTAAAGTTGTTACAGCTTATCAATGCCAAAGCTTTCAGCCAGTTCTGCTCCAATCATATGGGTAAAGATAACAAAATACACAGATTCTAGTATGTAATGTTTCAAGGTCAAAAGTCAGGGTCACACAAATAAGAAAATATTTCAGTTTCTACTGGATCATATCCAACGTTTAAAGTAATATATTAGTCACTGGGGGGCGTATGCATTTTTTTTAACTTTAACTTAAATGACTTTACAATAACACAGAAATATAAAAATTATATACTACACTAGACTTCCATATTAACAATGCTCACTATTCCAACCAATTTGTGCACTGTACCACTGGCAGCAAAACACCCCCGGAGCACGATGCTACCTACCACCATGCTTGACAGTTAGTACAGTGTTCTTAGGTTTGAAAGCTTCTCCGTCACTCCTACAAACACATCTCTTGGCATTGTAACCAAAGAGCTCAATCTTTGTCTAATCAGACCATAAAACTTTTGTTTTGAAGGCTTTTGGTTTATCCATGTGGACAGCTGCAAATTGCAGTTGAGCTTGAAGGTGTCAATTTTGGAGCAGTGTCTTCTTTCTTAGTCAGCTCCCTCTCAGTCTATGCTTCACTGTGACACTGGTATTCCAGCAGTTTCCAGTTCATGACAGGTTTGAGCCTCAGTGGTTCCTGGGTTATTTCCTCTCATCTAAGATTGACTGTGTGTGTCTTTGTCCAGACCTTGGCAAAGTGGTTACACATCTGAATAATTCATGCTTATGTATAACCGTTTTAAACGAATAATTTCAGACTCTTAACAAGAAGTTCATAGGTTTTTGCTTACACAAACCCCAAATTAACCCATTTACACACATGTTCAAATAATACTTTCTCTATGACAGTTTGATTGTGCTGTGCTAGATAAACACTATTTTGCCCGAGGACGGCATGTAGATTGGATGTGCCAAGGATCAAATATCTAACTGAAAGATATAGCCCAGGGAAATATCGGAGCAGGTAAACGGCGGAGAACCGGAAACTTGTGCTAGATGAGAGTGAACGAGTATATAAGTGACTTTGGCAAACTGTGTAGTGAGACGTATGAAAGATCACTGGCACAATATAAAAAGAAATCCAGTTAAAACGAGCCTTGTTTTATTTCCCCCAGGGACAAGTTTGCAGGAGAGAAGATCCCCACCCTGGAGGAGGCAGTGGAGGAATGCATCAAACTGCAGCTAACCATCTACTTTGATGTCAAAGGTCATCCAGATGAGGTAACGCCAACAAAACTGCCTGCATAACTGAGAGATTGCACATCACCATCGTCACAGTTTGCTCGTGTTGATTTTAGTGATGGCTTGATACAAACTGATCACAAGTCCAGCATTTCTACTTTTTTATTCATTACCAATAGAATGGCACTATAATACATGTCACCACTCTATTAGTTACACAAAACTAATCATTAAAATTAGTTGTGGCAAGCCAGAGTCATACCGGGGAATATCCAGAGAAGAGAAACACTACTAACACTAATGCACTTTAAGACGTCCAGAACACATGTTCCAGGTTTGTCTGTACTCAAACAAATAACAAACCCCTAAAACGCACACGGACACACACACACACAGCTTCTCACAGATTGAGGACAGCACCACTGATAAGCAATGTTTTGTTTGTGTGGTAACATTGTGCATGCTGTTAGACGTTCCTTGTTTGTTTGCTCTTTAACAACCAAATGTAACTTTGTTTGTGTTGGCAACATAAAAACTGAGCCAGGGGCAGTAGTCTCTTAGCTTAAAGTTAGGGTATTCACTCAACTCCTTAAGTGCAGCATTTGCACATTTTTAAGAAAGGGAAAGCTGCAGTTGTGGTTGGAGGCTCACGTACTGACATTTATGATTTGCGGGCCCATATGCCTGTGCATACACAGCTGCTAGTTACCACCTAGTGGTCGGAGAGGAACACCCACAAGCAAAAACATTAAATCTGCAAACAGCTGAATGACCTACGATAACCATTTGTTTCTTCTTCCTACTCAGGCAGCCGCAGCTCTAAAGGAATTGTATAAGAAATATCCGGTCCTCTACAACAGCAGCATCGTCTGCTCCTTCGAGCCCAAAGTCATCTACAGGGTAAGACGGCTCATATCTGAAGAGTTTAAAGCTTAGTTCATGTCAGTAAACACACTATTTTTCAGGGGGGATTTTTCTCTGTGGTTTTCTTCATACGATCTAGTCCAACTAGAGGAAAATTACAATTTAGAAGAAAATACACCGAGGTAAACTAATATGTAGTATAAAGAATCAAATTCCAGACATGAAGAGTTTCTGGTGACTGTCAGGTCACGTAGCACCGTTTGTTCCCAAAGGGGTAATTTCAACGCTGCAATTACACACCCTTAAAAAGTACAAAAGATAAAGATGCACAAAGTTCAGACAGTTTGGCTGCACACAGTGAAACAAAAAAAACAAAAGAAGAAATGTAGAAACAAGTTTGTGTGGGTCAGCTTATCTTATTTATCCTACATTAATTAACTTCTGCTATAAACTAGAAGTTCAAAGTTCTCTATGCATGATTATGAACCCTGACCACTTTCAGAACTTTTTTTATATTTTATTTTTTTTAAACTTGCAGCACATTGGCAACGTGGTTAACGCTGTTGCCTCATAGTATGAAGGTCCTGGGTCCAAATCAAGCATTTGGCCCGGGCCTTTCTGTGTGGAGTTGGCATTTTCTTCCCATGTCTCTGTGGGTTCTCTCTGAGTACTCCGGCTTCCTACCATAGTTTTTGGGGTAGGTTAATTGCTGATTCTAAATTGGCCGTAGGTGTGGATGTAAGTATGCCTCTGTGTTAACAGTGCGACAGGCTGGAGACCTGTCCAGGGTGTGCCCCACCTCTCGCCCTATGGCAGCCGTTACAGGCGCCAGCCGCTCCGCAACCCTGAGTAGGATAAGCGGATATCTGTGTGTTACACTTTGCACCTCCTAGACACATTTAGGTGATGGATTACAAGACTAATTAAACAGTATGAGCACACAGCTCTTAGTGCCTGAGCTCTTGGTTCCTATTTTCATTCATTTGTTACCAATTAAAGTGAACGCTAAGATGACCTGACATCAGCTGACATGTGGCTCAAAGTAGTTTACAGTTTTAATTGTAGTTATTTTTGCACAGTCTAAGAGTTAAGTTAAAAACGTATTGTAATAAATAGTGTTGACTCAGAAAGAGTGGGGAAACAAATACACAAAACAGCATGCTAATGTTCACCAACACTTTGTGTCTAGATGAGACAGAGTGACCCAGATGTGGTCACGGCACTGACCCACCGGCCTTGGAGCCTGAGCCGGTTCGGGGACGGTGCCCCACGTTTTTCATCGCTGTGGAAACATCACTGGATGACTGCCATGGACATCTTGTTGGACTGGGCACACCATAATGTTTTGTGGAAACTCTGTGGCGTTTCGGCGTTCCTGATACAGAAGAACTTTGTCTCACAGTGAGTTTTGTAGCTGGAACATACAGTCATATATTCTATATATGCGTTAGATTTCATTAGAATACAGATGTGTTAGAGGTGCATTTCAATGGCACTGCTAACTGTCTTATTCCATGCTCGGGTTTATTGTTGTGGATCATCAATAGGAGGAAATCTAAACATTACATATATTTGTATATATTAAGTATCTCACTTTTACATTTATTTTTTTTAAGTTATACCAAAAAAGTTATCGTTGCTTTGTACTCATCCTTAAAAAGTTCTTTTTGGGTCATTCAGACCAGATGAACATCACTCACCGATTGTGTGTCCTGTCTGCAGGGACTATGTGCAGTACTGGGCCCAGAGGGGTGTCGAGGTTGTAGCCTGGACCGTCAACACACAAGTAGAGAAGGAGTATTACCAGGAGGTGCTAAAAGTCAACTACATCACAGACAGCATGGTGGAAGACTGTGACCCTCATTACTGACGTACACATAAATCCACTCAACAAAATGTTGGCATTTATTAAAGATAAAAGAAACTGTCACCCATATGTAAGCTCAAGCAAGAGATCATATACTCCTTTTATTTCCAAGAACACTGTTTTTCTATGGGTGTATGTTTCCTGAAGAATTTTAACTGGGCGCCATAACAAAATACAAAGTAACAGATCTTATTACGACTAAATCACTTTAATAATGAATAATGATGAACTCGCCTGTTATATTTACAGACTTGTTAATGCAAGGTGCTGGTAATATGTGTCTATAATAGACCTGCAGCAACATGATGTATTCATCCACTCAGGACTACATTGGGGGTTTTGGGGTTTTTTTGTTTTTTCTTTTGTATGTTTGTCATGTTAGTTGTGTTTATACAGTCTTTCAGATAATGCAGAGCACTGTGTGCACTTTTTACTCACTAAAATCTGAAGAAATCTACCTTGAGATGATTTTTTTTTTTTTTGTCATTTATGACATGTGAATACTACTTATTAAAGAAACATACATAAATGCTTTATAGAGCAGCATAGACAAACTAATAATAAGTAGGCTTGGTGATTACTTATGTTGTTAATGTATGGAGAAAACAAACTTTTGTACTGTACTGTATATGAAACCACAAGGACATTTATGAGGGATCAATTGTGGCACAAATACACGAATGGAGTTAATGCATGGCTTTGTGTAAGGCTCAAGTGTTACCAATAACACAGTGCCTGTTTTTAAAGAGTAAACCCTTTTTTAGCAGTATGACAGTTTTGTAACTGCTTTTACTTGAATGGGTAAAAACTAAAGTTAGACGTTGCTTGATGTTGCTGTTTGTCTGGAAAATCAACCTCGTGCTTTTGCATTTCATATATGCTGAATGTAAAGTAAGCTGGCTTTACTTTTTTTTTCATCCCTAAACTTGAGTGTAGAATTTCAAAATGTAAATTACACAATTTGGTGTTGCCGTAAGGCTTTAAATGACTTTAATAAGCCTGACTGATTCTAGATTTTTGGGGCTAATGACTGCCAGCTTTTGGTGGTCACCACATTCTAGTATCTGATGATATCATTATATCTATACACTGTAGATATTACTGTACAACAAAAGTGGACAATTAATTTTCCTAGGTGGACATATTAGAAACTGGAACGGTTTTGGAGGTAAAATAGATATAAAATTTTTACTCAACCATAAAATCTATTTTTACTAATCAAATTGCTCCAAATAACAGGAAAATGCATCAACAGTTTAAAGTAAGGTGACACAGACTCTTGTGAATAACTACTTGATTTTTTTTTTTATTTCTTTGTAATAGTTGTGGGAATGTAGAGCTGCTTGGCAGACTGAAAATGTTGGTCTGTCATGTTCTGTGTCGTTATGTGACGGCTCTGGACACTAAAATGGATCAATAAAGGTGAACGGTTTGAGCTGATATCTTGCATCGCATCATTCAGTAAACACAAAAACCTGGACATACTGTCTCAGGAGAACATAAAACTGTTCAGGTGTAGTGTAAAACCTCATGCATTCACTGTTTGGCCCTGCTGTTAATGCTAAGCTTGTGTAGTGGGGACTGTTGATTATTAGCTTTTGGGCCTGCAGAGTCAGGCGATTGACCCAGATAGCGCAGATGAATGGGGGTTGAGTGAGAAGTGTAGTGTTGGATATCACCCTGGTTAAGCCTGTCTGAGCCGCTTCTTGTCCCGGCTGATCTTCAGTTGCTAAATGCAGAATTTCAGCTCAGGCAGTTTGGAGGCACTCAGCTAATTTTTATCTGAGCAAAAGAATCAGTTTACCTGCGTGTTTAAAAAAGAAAGAAAGAAAGAAATGTTAGATTTCAGGTAGAAATTATCAAAGGATAACAATGACGATAAGTCCCCAGAGAGATTATGGTGAGTGCCAAAAGCTGATTTAAAAACTAAAGCCCTATCCTTGTTAATAGAGTTTTTTTTTTAATGCTCACAATTGGTCAAACATTCGTAATAATTGTCTAATAAATATTTTTGAAGTGTGTAACCAAACCTTCAAACTGCACCAAAATGTAAGTTTCCTGTCAGCTTTCTTTATTACTGTCAAAGCGCCTGGAGATCTGCGAATTTGGTTTAATAGGTGAAAGGTGAGCGCTTCGCGGCTCCTAAAACCCGGCCTGAGGGGCGTTTAGTGACGTCACGCACAGGCGGACTAACCAGAAGTAAATAGAAACAACGCGACCGGAAACACAGCAGCTCCGACTTCAGAATAAAAGGCTTTTCAAAGTGTGGAAAAATTTTAAGATCCCTAGAAATGAATGTAATTAATTAATCGCAAGGTTGGGAAACAGTATGTAAATATTAAGTTTAACACAACAAAAATATACTTAAAATAGCATGAAGCTCAGTGAACTAGAAAACAATGAAAAAAAAATATTAAAAAGGTACAAACCTAATCTGAAATAACTATACAATAAAGTAAAAGTATACTAAAGAATAAAGTATAAGTAAAATACGTATAGTAAATGTCTAATATACATGTACATTTAAACTCTAAATTCACCATTAAATACTATGTAATAAAAATGAATAATAATGGAAAGGTGTTGTTGTGTGTAAATCTTAACTATGTATAATTTATGTTGTTATTATAACTAATACCAACGTAATTAAAACTATTAATTTAAACTATGATACGTTTTATTTATTTTGTTAAAGTAATACAAAAGAGAATAATTAAATGGAAAATCTGAAATAAAATACAGTGCTGTGCAAAACTTTATTTTGCTTCCAAGGACCCAGGTTTTCTTGTAATTATTATTATTATTATTATTATTATTATTATTATTTTGTGGTCCTGAGCAATACTTCTCGGGGCTTTTTTAGATCTTTTCTTTGGATAGTGGCAGCTCCTTGACTCATTTTCAGTGAATAACCAATTCTAGAGGGATGTTTGATGAGAAGAAGACAAAACACAAACAGAAACACTTGAAAACAACTGCGTATGGAACATGACAAGAAGCCCAATGACCACAAGAAGTCAGACACTAGAGGAGTATATCCCTAGAAGTCCATGCTCTGTTTGGTCCAGATCTTTACAACATTAGGCTGGGTTTTTAATGTTGTGGCTAATCAGTGTTTAAGTGCATAGTATTTTTAGCTGCATGATCAATAGTATATAACTGTGTAGTTTTTAATGTGATATAAAAGTACATATGGTGTCATCTCAAGATTTTGCTTATCATATTTTAAATGGTGCTTCAGTTTAAAGTAGCTGTAGGCTTGTATACTCCAAAATTAGTTTTATTTTGAAATGTTCAGGCGGAAGCCCTGTTCTGCATTTGGACTTGCTTGACGCTAGCCCAGCATGCTCGCTTTTAGTCCTGCAGAGAATAAAGTGTACAGTGCCCTTGTAACCTGTCAGAAATCAGAGGTGGTACAGTCGGTTCCGGAGCACCAGCAGAGGAGAGAGGGTAGGAGTGTCCGGCTTAGAGTGTCACAATTCAGGGACGTCAGGAAGCTTGCCCCCGCCTCCCATTAATGATCCCCGGCATGTGGAACTGCGTTCTCCTTGAATGACCTACACACAACCTATTGCACGAGTCCTGGACGTCGTTTCATCTCAGTTGAACCACCTGCCGGAGAGGAGCTGCAGCGGGCGGTCTACACAGCGGGCAACAAGTCGAAGCGAGTCTCTGGCAGGCCTCGAGCCAACTGTGGAGCAGCTGACCTGGACAACAATCATTTCGGGGGGCAGCCTCAGAAGGACCGGACAAGAGCTACAAGTTTCAGAGTCAGCGTTCAATGCTTGAGGCCGACAATTAAGGAGAAGGGGCAGTGCAGAATTTCTCGAGGGTATCGGCGTTCACATGATGTACACAATCACCAGAGGTCCCAGCAAACTCGTTACACAACGGAGGACAGGTGAGTGAATGTGGCCATTACCTAACGCGTGATGCAATGTAACGTCAGGCTGCTTTTGGCTCAAGAAAGCGAAAGTTTCGGGGTTGTTTCGTAAGGTGAAATGTTTGAGTGCTGGGTTACATCGAGTCTACAAACGCGTAATTTTTCCGTTTTTGCCCCAGGTAACACTCAGCAGGTCGAGAGCAAGTTCGGCGACTTGAAACTGAAGCCGACGTCCTGGCTCACGTCAAAGTGAGTATGTTTACTTTGTGTTTTTATTTAATGTTTACCTTTTTTTTTTTTTTTTTTTTTTTTGAGGGTTTCTTTGGGCGTGCTGCTGTTTGAGCAGCGCGAGCTCAAAATACTTCCCACGTGGACCGCGAGCGCGATCATATAACACGTAAGCGTGGCTTGGTTCCATTATCGGACACAACTTCTCTGGCGGCCCGTCAGTTTCTCGGGCCAATCAGAGGCGCCATTAGTTGAGGTGTGACACTGCATGGTGTAGCCGAGAGCTCTGCTACCTGAGGGGCCAACCCACCTCGCCTGCTGTGATTTATTAAGGTGTAGAAATATAAAGAAAATAATATAAAGAAAAGCCTAAATCTAGCCTTGATTGAAACTTCATCTACAAATGGCAAAACTAACTTAATGTACTGAGATAGTTAAGGTGGACTAACCAATACAAAGCTGCAGTCTCCAAAATGTCCAGGAAAAAATTGACCACTCTAAGAAAACCTTCTTGTGTGAAAGTGTGCAAGACTTAGATTTACACTTAGATTTGCACTAATATATAACACCCCACCTTCAAGAAAACACCAAGTAGGTAATGGATGCCCTTTTCAGCTCATGTTCACCCTGCCCATGAAGAACCAAGTCAGTCTGTCCTGTCATAATCAAAGTGGCCACACCTTCACCAAGTAATCCAAGCTGCTAAATGAACATAAGACTTTTACTCTCACTTTGTAACGTGACTCCTGTGACTGTCTTCATCCAAAAAGCCGCTCCTCTGCAATTAGCTCTTGTGTTTTCTCCTTAGCTCTCCTCCTCCAAAGATCGTGTTCAATCGCCTCAACGGGAAACGGTACCACAGTGCGGCCGCACAGAAGACTGAAAGCCCAGTGGAGGGATTCACTCCTGCACACGAGGAGAATGTCCGATTTGTATACGAAGGTGAGGATAAGGGGACCAATAGATGGGTGGTGATGTAAGTCAGAGTGCAAAGTGAGCCCTCCAAGACAAAAAGTCAGATCTTTATCTGAAAGGGGACGTGGTATTAGTTACTAGAGTAGCTTTACATGATTCATAGTTTATAATGAGCCTTTTCAACCTGTTCTGGGTACTAGTGTAGCCCTTCAGTTCATCTCTTAAACCATTGTAGCTCCAGTTCCTCTTCTTTTTAAGACCTCTTAATACTTCCTATTGGCGGCCTCTCACAAAAGTTTGCACAGCAAGTGGTGGACCTGCGGTGCTCAGAGGCAGAGCTGTCTGCCTGAGGGGATCATACTGGGGCTTTCCACTCGGTCTGAAACCAAGCAGCTTAGAGCCCAAGCTTTTTGGTACTTGTACAATCAGTGATCTCACTTTTTTGACACTTTGGTCATCTTTAATAAGCGTCTTTAATAGGCTGATGATAATTTGGAAATCAGATGATCTTCTGCAATACATGTCCTCCTCTGCATAAGAAGCTTTGGATATACAGATGTGCAAAATTTTAATATTTACTGTTTGTATTTTTACCGTGTTGGTAAATTTCTCTTCATATACTTAGGTTCAGAATTTATATCCTTTTTTATAAGGTAGTTTTCAGTAATGTTGGGTGTTGTTTTGCATACTAATAACCCTTTTTTTTAAAATGACAAATACCTGAACTACTGCAAAAATTCAACTAGTTGTCAGTAGGTCTCAGACGAGTGCTGCTTCTAGTCAGTAAACCCTAACAATGAGTTAAGTCCAGGCCCTGCAACATACACCCCCGTCTTGGAAGATTGTCCAGCATACCTCAGCGCCGGCCAGTATTTCATGCCGTGCTCGGATTAAATAATTTGTGGAGCTGAATCGGCATGAGCCAGCTATCTGTGTTACTCTTGGGCTGCTGCCAGTAAAGACTGCTCTGTGGCGTCCTTTTGTGACCACAAAGTTCAGCGCTTCACTTTTGTTCTCTGCTCAGACACAAGGAGGAACCGCTCTCACGCTCTGTCGAGTTGTTCGAAGAGAGAAAACCTGCTGCGGTTTATTCCAGTTGAACATGTTCACACAAAAAAGATAAAAATTGTAACAAATGTAACCTGCAGACATGATTAGAAAGCGTTTTATGCACCCGCATGCACACGTTCAACTGGTTTATTGTTTAACATCCTTAAAGCCGTTAGACATTAAATGTTTGGCTGACTATTGGAGCTCCAAGTAAGCAGAAGACATGTCCACAGAAACTAAACCTTGAGATTTATCTTGATTATTAAATGGAAAAACCTTCACCCTCAGCTGATAAACACAATCCGCCTACCAGACCAGTCCTCTCAAGGTTTGCAGCCTTCAAATGAATTTAGATAAATAGTGGTCAGAGCTGTGTAGATGTGCCCTTGAGCTCAGCTGCTGGTTGAAGATTTATTTTTATTTTTAGTGTCTTTTTGTATGAGTTCAAAGATTACAGGAAAAAATACACCAGTGTATCCATCCAACATCCAAATGGTAATTACAACTCCACGCGTGTGTGACTGTTTGCAGTGTGGCAGGAGGTGGAGCAGAAGCTGGAGGACGGCGGCAGAGGGGAGCTGGCTGGCAGCCAAGGGCCCGTTCAGTACTCCGAGAAGACCCCGAGTGCTGCGATGAAGAGTAAGTTCCCATGACTTTTAAAATGCCTCCAGTCATTTAGAAACTAACGTGACCACACTCATTTAATGTAATCTTACCGTATGTCTTTATGGCATCCTAACAGATAAACCTCTTCCTACTCATTAAGCTGCTCAGCTTTTGAACCTGTAATCTATGCATTTATTATGTCTGGGCCTTTAAACCCCTGAACAGATTGGCTATTCTCTGAATGAACAGCATGCAAGGCAGAGGGCAACTGTTGTAATAGTATTGCTTTAATTTTTAACCTCTAATTTGAGAACCTGGCTATTCCAGATAAACCAGCCGTGACGACCAAATGTAGTGCACACACCTACCTGCCTCTTCCGCTTTCCATTGTGTATCGCTACCCCGAAAAGCTTAAACCAAACCGGTTTCTAATCCTGAATTCTTTAGAATGTGAAGAAAAAAATATTATTATATATTTTTTATTTTTAAGAAGACCGAAAGCTTTTCAAATCTGAGAAATTAACAACATGACAAAAGGAGCTCTCCATTCAAATGAAGAACAATGAATCGATTAAAGACGCAGGCTGGAATTCTTCAGCTGTTAATGTAACATTTTGTTCACGTGTAGAAAACGTACTTGCTCATTTGATTCAAGCTGAAGTTAAGCTTTCGTCTCTTGTCTCTCCTGCCATCCTCCCCTCTGTGCAGACTTTGTGCCCATAGACCTGGAGGAGTGGTGGGCTCAGCGCTTCCTTGCCAACATTGCCAACCTCCCATGACTGTGATGAGGCATCGAGCCGGGACGAGGAGATGCACCGCGCTGATGCATCCGGAACTTGCCACACGGGTGGAAAGGAGGCGAGCCCGTCTCCGGGATGTGTAGCGTTGTGTCTAATTTGGAATGTGATTTGATGCCTCGTGCTTCACAACTGCTGTCGAGAAACCTGAGTGCACAACGATGCAAACGCAGCGACCTGACTGGGAACTCTTGACAGCATTGACTTTATGTTGTGCTGCTCTAACGGATCTCTCTCTCTCCCCCTCTCTCTCTCTCTCTCTACTTGAATGATGTATCAGAAGCTATGAGATCTTCCCCTTGTTCAACAACCTGCTTCCTTTCTCAAGTGTGTTCAGCTCTGCGAGCATCTTGGTTAATCTTTGGATAAGGAAAAACAAAAAAAACCACACAATGTCTTTTCAACAACTTCTGTGAGATTGCATTTCTTTGCGCTTAACTGGCTCATATTTTGTTGTTGCAACACATAACACCTGACTGTTGTGCAATACAACACGCTGAGGATTAACTTTGTATCACTGGGCTGACAAAGTGTAATATCAACTTTATTACATCAAGTGGTTTTGCTGTTTTGAAATTTTTAAATCAAAAGCCCTTTTCAGATATAACTTTACTGGCTGTTAAAGTGACAGTTTGGTCATTCAGACAGACATGTGACAGTATTGGAAAGACTGACTATAATCAGTATAAACTTAGTGAATGGCAACTTTTTAATGTTAGTGACAATGGAGAGGAGAACAAAGAGCAGGGTGTACGTGACATGTTGTGCTGATGAGAGCTGTTCAGGCTGTTCTTCTTTGGGCTGATGTGTAAATGTTACTCTTTCTTAAGATTCCTGTCATGACTTCTATGGAAAAAGTGACCCAGGTGCTCATTTTGGACACCTTGTAAGGTGCAACAGGAGTGCATGTCTGAAGGGGACTAAAGCAGCCATTTGTCAACCCCACACTACAGCCGTCATTAATCTGATTTATTTTCTTAATAAATGCAACATTTTGGGGGGGGGGGAAAAAAAAAAAAAAACAGTTAAAATACACCCGGTCCTGGAGAAACGGTGTCAATAATTACATAGTTATAAACCTGTTTTTACTAAAGATGTTCTCACCTGGGAATGATCAGTCTTTGTCTTGATCACTTAGATTTTCTTGTGGCCTTTTCGGTTATCAGACAAACGTTCCAAGCACAGAAATAAAATCTGCCATCTTTAAGTTTCTACATAAAACCATTCTTGCAGTGAGTTTAAAAGTGCGACTGTAATGCCTCCTTCCTCGCTTGCCTCTCTTTCACCTACTTTTGCCCGCCTTGCCTGTCCTCTTGACCCGCCTGCGGCTCGGTGCGGCGCGGCCTGGCTTGGCTGTGGTGAAGGTGATGCACTGAGAGTCCAGGTAGTCCATGAGCTTGGCGGCCCCCAGGCGTATCCCCGCTGCTTTGAGTTGCTCCTGAAGCTGAGACAGAACCAGAGGCTTATACTGGAGGATCTGACTGTACAGCTTGGAGTCGGACAAGATGAAGGAGCGCACGGCTTTGAGTCGATCCTGGAGCCGGGACGCTGCTTGAGAGGCAGAAATCCCGCCATCGCTGTCGGAGTCGCCGTCGGACGAGATGCATAATTCTGGATTGGACCTGATGAGAAGGAAGCGGTTAATTTTATAGACTCTACTAAGTGTCTGATTTTTAAAATGAGTGTCAGGTATCTAACTTGTATATCTGAGGGTCAAACGTGCACACACTAAGCAACAGCTGGAACTGGAAAGCTACTTCAACGGTTCCAAAATGTCTCCAATCAGCCACATGTCAGTAGTTGTGTGGTCGTGTGACCCCAGCCAGGCGTGTAAGGGGTCATGTTGGCACCAAATAATCAATCACAAAACATGAATGAAATCAAGTTTTAACCTCCCAAATATGAGGAATTGTACCTGTAACATGGGCTAAAAGCAACTCCTGATATTGGCTAAATTATCAGATCCAGAAACTCAGTTGATGGATGTGTGCAGGTTGTTTTCTCTCTCTGTCCTGCATTACTGGAGCTGCTCCTGTTCTTTCTGTGCAACACTGTAATTGTGTTAAAAGAAGCCAAAGGTCCCTGAATACTATTGCCCTGCTAATCCAACCACCAAGCGTCACTACAGTAATCCCATTTTCCAAGAGAACTGAGCAGGTGAGTAGTGGTGCTTTTCAAACACCGATCTGTTACCTGGTACAAAAACAGCATTCAGGCAAGTTACCTTAAATTCTAGTTCATATCAGCGCCATCAGCTCATGATACAGAACATCTGTGTGTGAATTTGAATTAATGCTTCATAGTATATAAAAGCAATTTACAGTAGCGTTCAACACATTTGCTGATAAAGTTTATATCACATATAATCAGCATCATTTTGAACTTTTTCCCCATTCTGTGCATTTTAAGCTCTTTTCTCTCAGGAGCGCTAACATCACGTGTCTTTGACTCATCGTCATATGGCTGTTATCTCCACTCTGTTAATGTAATTTTAGATAGTGGACATAATTAGATGAAGTATTTTAAATCACAAAATGGCATTTTTATACATTTCAAATTTCCCCAAAGAATCTCATTCATAAAGGTTGTTTATCTTGACTTTATAGCTGTGCACTCACTACTGACTAAATTCATTGTTGTTTTCCCAGGTAGGAACAAAAACAACATTCTAGAGCTCAATTAATAAAAACACTAAAAATGTAAGCACCCTCTGTATAGCTGTGGGTTGTGATGTACACAGATGTACACTTTGGTGTCATTCTGAGGCAACAGCACAGCAAATTACACACAATGACCATAGCAGGTTACAAACTGGTGCTATTCAGCTGTGAAGGAGGGCAATGGTGTCTAACATCCTCCTCTTCACAATCCTCATGCATTGTGTCGACTCTTGATGGACTTCACATCTTTAAACTAAGACATTATCTTCTGAATGTTCACGACTGCCAAGAGATGACTTGGTGTGAACCTTTGATGTCATTTGATTTGTTACCAACACTAGTACAGGTGCACACAGGCGAGCAACTCTGAATCCATCAGAAACATGGCTCCTGGAGAACACAGGCCACTGACTGAGTCTATAGTCAAGCGCTCTGTTATGTAACACCTAAGATGATCTACACGCTGCGGAGTACCTTTCCGATTCTTCACTGGCTCCAGCTGAGGAGGTGTTGGAGCCCTGTGAGTTGGACAGAGGCTCCGCCACCTCATCACCGTTGTGCTTCACAGGGCACACATCAGCAGGTGCTCGGGGTTCTTTAAACTTCACAGTCTGGGCGCAGGACACTGGCCTGCTGGCAGGGGGCTTCATCTGAGCTGTGGCTCCTGAGACTGAGGCCTCATCCTCAGAGTCTGAGCTGACCAGCTGGTGTGTGTATTGGTGGATCTCCTTCAGTTTTAGGATCATCTGGCGCTTCGGTAAAGGCCGAACGCCAAACCTGCACAGAGGCGAAAGTTAAAGGCATTTGCGAGGCACAGACGGACTAACAGATGGACAGAAGGAAAACAGCCTGACAGCGAGCAGAGCCAGACAGACTGCGTTGACAGTGACACCAGGGGAGCTAATCGGATAGATACCTCACTTAATCGCTGTGATTAGTTAGAAGAAAAAAACTTGGCCTTGTATCTAATCTTTAACGAGAGGATGAGAGTGAACCAACTGACCTGTTGAGCTTGTTCTTGAGCTCCGGCGTGTCCATGTCAGAGTAGTGGGGCATGGGAGTGATGGGCACCAAGGTGCGCCGCCTTTTGCTGTGAGACGACACTGATGAAACACAAGAAGAAGACACTGTTTAGGCACAAAGTCTAATTTCTACACTAGAAGTTCATAAATAGAAGACAAGTGCGTGCAGTCCTTTAAAAAATCCCAACTAATTATTTATTCAACAGAAATTAAGCAATATATCTGTAATAGCCCGCAATCATATCTTAAGTTATACTAATTGTAAAGCATTTGAATGAATTGGTGATATTAAACAATATAGATAAAATGAACCTGATAAAGCAATAAGCCCCCAAACAACACATTATTCCTTGTTTTCCACTTGAATTTAATCAATACTTCAAACTTTTACCAGTCAATTTGGTTTTAACCTTGAAATGAGGCTCAGATATAACATTCTTTCACAATTAACAAGTTCGTGCTTATTAAAGTTAACGAGCACAACATTAATTAATGTTGCAGAGTCTCGACTTAATATATATAGTGCCTTGAGATGCCCTTTTTTTTGTTTGGTGCTTTTTAAATAGAAACAAACTGAATTAATTGTGGAGGCTGTTTGAGAACTTGTGGTTGATAATAATAATTATCTGTCTTTTTGTGATTTGTATATAGCACTACTTTGTCTATATTTCTCTTGGTTTTTATAGTATGTGTAGCCCTGTGCAGGCTTGTCGTCCCAACCACAAGGTACAGCATGTACAACCCTGTGAATACAGACAATAACTTTCTACTTCAGGCACAGGTTGTCTGGTAGAGTGAAGAATCTGATTAGATTTTGAGGCAACTCTAGTATAAATTATGTATTAGAGGAAAAATACTTCTTGATATTTAATAAAAATTAAGACCTGTTGATACATATTGGGATGGTTTTTATAATTTAGTCTAAAACAAATATTATTTAGTAATATGCAGTTTATATTTATGCTAGCAAATTACACAATAGAAATACTTACCTGGGGTCTTATGATAGGTTGAGGGGTTCACCCTCTTAGAGAGAGGAAGGAGTTCCTCCTCCTCTTCTTCTTCTTCCCAGCTGTCCCATATTTTGGAGTCCAGGAGGCCGTTGTCAATCTCTGGTGTGGTCAGCAATTTGGCTTTAGGTGGGGACGTGGTGATGGAGGGACCTGCGTGCACCTGAGAGCGGTGACATTTAGGTGTGGAAGGGGTAGTCACGCCACCACAGCGGTTTAAAGACTCGCTGCTGTGTCTGGACGATTCAGGTCGACTGGTGGGAGAGGTTAACGACTGGGCTGTTTCTCGCTGCCCGCTGTCCTCCAGCCTCAGACTGAAGCATCCTGGATCAGCGTCTACACACACATCGAGTCCCCATGAATCATTGAACGCCATGGGAGGCTCATCCATGGCCATAAAACTCTGCTGAAAACTAGATTCTTCAACATCTGCCTCTATTTTTATTGCTCCCTCCTCTCCTTCATTGAACATTTCTTCAGTATGATCAGAATCTGTCTCTCTTCCTTCCTTCTCATTCCTTAACCTCTTTTCATAAATGCTGGAATTAAGAGAACGTCGACTCTGACTAGAGGACACGGTGAGCCTCGGTGAACTTTCAAAACTATGAGAAGACGAAGCGCGTGGGCCTGAAGGGTCAGACAAAGGGGAGAGGTAAAAGCTCCCCAGGTCTGTTTTCTCTGGGCTATCTGATGGTGCTCTCTCCCTTTTCTGACC